TCCCTCACCACTCTCTCACTTTCTCCCTCACCACTCTCTCCTTTTCTCCCTCACCACTCTCTCACGTTCTCTCTCACCACTCTCTCGCGTTCTCCCTTACCACTCTCTCGCTTTCTTCCTCACCACTCTCTCGCTTTCTTCCTCACCACTCTCTCGCTTTCTCCCTCACCACTCTCTCGCTTTCTCCCTCACCACTCTCTCCCTTTCTCTCTTACCACTCTCTCGCGTTCTCTCTTACCACTCTCTCGCTTTCTCTCTCACCACTCTCTCGCTTTCTCCCTCACCACTCTCTCGCCTTCTCCCTCACCACTCCCTCGCTTTCTCCCTCACCACTCTCTCGCTTTCTCCCTCACCACTCTCTCGCTTTCTCCCTCACCACTCTCTCGCTTTCTCCCTCACCACTCTCTCGCTTTCTCCCTCACCACTCTCTCGCTTTCTCTCTCACCACTCTCTCGCTCCCTACATGTGTTTAACACCGTGAAAGAACCAGTCTAGCTTGGTGGTCCACGCGCCGCCGTACGCCTCGTGAAACTGTGCCTGGAAGTACTCGATAGCCTGCTGCTCTTTCTTCTCGACGGCGAGGGTCTTACGAAGATACTCGACATCGTCGAACGACTGCAGCTCAGGAATTCCCGCGTTCAGCATCATCGTGAAGAGCGTGATGAAGAGGTTGGCGTGCCGCCGCAGGCACAGGTACGCCTTGCCGCACAACTCGTTAAACCTGCGTGAGAGGCGGGAGATACGGAAATCAATGAACGACAATACAACGAACAAAAAATACCACGAACGCGAGCACCAGCTTTGCCGTGGAGACGGCTTATGCATGCGTCTGTTAATGGTGTAGTGAAGTCAACCTCTGTGAGAGATTGTAACTTTTATAAAAAGAACGAATCAACAGTTTGTGTAAGAACATGCCACTGTTGTAAGGGAAAAGCAACCGCTTTTATTAACCAATAGCGAATTCCATTATTAGAACAGATGAGCCGTAATATAACAGTTGTTAGCTAAGATTATTAGGAAATCTGTGACCCGCTCCAGCATAATACGGACTAAGTCGCAGGTCATTGTTTTGAGTAATGAGCACGCACACATGTCAATGCTGAAAATGGCCTACCTGGACAAAAATGAGATTTTTACAAAAATAAGTTCCTAAGTGCATATTTAATCCGGATATATAGGTTCAGATATCTCTAGATTATTATGGTCATTTTTAATTTAAAAAAAAAATCCCTTTTTTTCCTTCGCCCTTTAGACCGGCCCCTCACCGCTTATCCCCGACTGGGCCCCTTACCCGGAACGCTTTATCTCAAAAGCTGCATATTCCGGAATAAGTCGGTTTCCGATCTTCAAATTGCTGTAGATCGGTCAATTCTATAGATATAGCCAAATATTATATATCATTTTAAAGGTAATTAAATTATCTATTCAGATATGCACATAACTCAATTTGTAGAATTTCCTACTTAATCCTGGTTTTGCTGGAGCAGGTCACAATCTGTTTTTATTACAAATCTGGTTGCTACAATGGATGGACATTTAACCTGCAGTGGGACAATGCATGTAAAAACCACTCTTACCTCAATTATGCAATAAAAATCACCAGCATTTGTAATAAAATCAATTCTAATGCGAAATAGGGATTAACCATATTGCAAAAGCATAGTGGTATAACGAATAGTGGAACGCGGGAGGTGGACACAAATTCATAGCAAACAAAATGGTTTATACAATAAAAATATGCAAGTTTACATGCAGACATAACAAACCCAATGAAACGGAATCCCAACAACATCGACTGTTGTGGGTATCCTCATCGCCTTTCGAAACAGAGACAACTACTTCTCTGCATTACTAATATAGGTGCTCACTTTTCAAATTCCTTCGTTTTCGTTGGGTAATCAGCATCCTTTGCGATCACTCTCATGAAGTCCTCAGTGAGTACAAACGGCACACGCTCACGCTTAATGCCATATTTCTTCTTGATGTGGTGCAGAAAGTGGCCAAAGTCTATGTGGAAAATCTGTAAAGCAAATACCAAACAAATTCATGCTCTTTGCTCTTTATGATCATAGGTTTTGGTATCATATTACTTAACCTTAAAACCAGTGAAACTTGGGGAAATTTTAACTTGTTTATAAATACACAGAAAGTAGTAACAAACTTCTCAAACTCATTCTCAAACTGTTTCAATTTTGATGATTTCACAAAGACAACACAATACTTTGAAGAATTATTCTGTCAGTATTAGCAGAATATCTACAGGGTTTCTTCTGAGGGAAAATTAGACAAAGGAGGTAATGGCCAGTTTGGGACAAAAAGGATGGCACTCCAACCAATCAAATAACGGAAAAGTGTAGACCCTGCGTCACATGACTCAATAAACGCACATGGCAATCTAAATATGCTGGAAGCACGTGGTGAATCTGGTGATCTATTTATTTTTGGGTTGACACTATTTTGACAACGGCGGGTAAATACATGAACATTTTCTCAACGGCGATGTTAAATTTAACTTTTTTTTATTTTTTATTTTTTATTTTTTATTATGTATAAGAAACCCTGAATCTGCTTACTTGCCCCTCCTCGTTCACCATGATGTTGTCCGGATGCCTGTCTCCAATGCCGAGAACAAAGGTGGCGACACAATAGCCCGCGCAGGAAAGTGTGAACGTCTCAATAGCCGACTCGTAACTGCAAAATTAACACCAGCACGTGGTATGAAGACAGAAATGGAAAGCTAGCAACACGACACCGTACATTGTGGTCCTGGAACAGTGTGTACATTTGAGGAAACAGCCCTGGAAAAAAGTCGCCCTGGAAAGTGGAAAAAGAGCCCTGGAAAATGAAAAAGTAGCCCCCGAAATTTTGGGGGGGTTTGCAAAAAGAGCCCCGGAAAGAAAAAAATTAATTTTTTCACTGGTCAGTGGCATTTTTAGAGTAGATACTGTATTCTTGTAATAGCAGCAAAAGAAGAATATTCTATGACTGAATATGCAGCAAAAGCTACAACCAGCATATAATCCAATTGAGCTATTTTATCAGCAATCAAATTTAGATGCACATTCTCATGTCTTGCCTTCCCATTACATTCTAGTTAGGTTCTTCTGGACAAATTGTAATCAGACTCTAGTGATGTGAAGATCAAAACCAAAATTACAGACAATTTCATATGCTAAGTACTGTGCATTTATTTCTCCCCAAAAAGGCTGTGTGCGTACGTATATCGAAATTTAGCATAGCGAGCTTAGTCTGCACCAGCATGTATTTAGCATGGGATAGTGTGTACAAACTACAAAAATTTCCTGGCCCAGACTAGTTTAATATGGTGTCAAACTTGCATGACTGACTGGTTTGTATGATGGGTAGAAAATTTTGCCATACTAACTAGCTAGTTCGTTCCAGAGCATGGCCTCGCGGAATTACCATATTTTTTCAGCTAATTTCTAAAGAAAATTTGGCAGACGTGCAACCGCATTAATCTTACAAATAAACTATAAAGCACATGCGTTATTGTTAATATCTTTAATTTTGAACCTCGGACTGCGGACTCCCTCGTTTTGCGGGTTGGACTCTCATGTTCAAAAGTTAATATTTACCCCTGCTAATTTATGAAATATATTAATGTTGCTACTGAGGTCTTGTCTGCGTGTGTCAGTTCGGGGTTTCTTCTACATAAGAGGCACAGTGGCACACCGCCATTGTCAAATTTAACATCAATGACTTAGTCTGTTGTGAAAATGTTCCTGTATTTGTCTGCGACTCTAAACAAGGCAGACACCACGATAGTAGTTCATTTAACACAGTTTCGGCACCATTAATGTCTGCGACTCTAAACAAGGCAGACATCACGATAGTGGTACATTTAACACAATCCGGCCAGAGCACAGAAATACACAACACGCTCTCAACGATACAAATGGCGACTGATTTATTATAAGTTGCATGGGCAGGGATCTTAACTATATGCTGACTATTATAACAAAAATTATTTATTATTAATTTTATGTATTTTCCTACACACAAATTAGACACAGTGCCATAATTGTGTAGCAAAATATGAACACCGAGTGATGAATAAATAATAAAATTATGAACTTATAGTCTAGAGCCCTACACCACCTGCACGGAAAAATTTGGGACAAAACAAACTACTTTGGTACATTAGTAGACATGACATGTGAAATTTTGATTAAATTTAACATTTTCATCGAAGACTGGGAATAGGGTCAGTCAGATAACCAGCAATGAATATTTGCTTATTTTATGTCAAAAATGTAAACTTCCAGGACATTAGACATAAAATAAGGACTTGGACCTATTTCCAACGACTTTCAATGACAAAAGGAAACATTAAGGACTTTCAAGGACAAACGTCAAAATCCAAGGACTTTCAAGGGCTGTGGGGACCCTGTAATTTCACGAATTGAACGCATATTTCCACAGTTGACAACAGACTTACATTTATTTACACAATTACAATGAAGATAGTTTTACCTGATATTCTACTACTGGATCTAACTATGTCTTTAATATCGAGTTGAGTAATAGATACACAACCGCGTACAGTTTCCCTGTGGCATTGTGCACCTCCCAAACGTGATTATTTGAGCAAGCTATTATTAATCACTAGTAAGTATAACGTGTTCGACTAGTGAATGGCTTCTAAACACTTCGTATTCAAATAAAAAATATTTTCTGCCCACTCACTACCCGAGAGAAGAAAATTACAATAGTGCTCGCGTACACGTATGGCATACAAACAGGTAAATTTGGACTCTTCAAGACTACGTACTCCAATGAGCACAACGGGTATCGAAAGATTACATTGGAGCAGTCTCACCTCCTGAACTCTCCATTACAGATGAACTTGACAATTACGTTATCTTGCGTGCCCACATACTCGACTTTTCCTGCTTTAGAAAAATAAAACCGTCAAGACTATACCGTCCATCCTTTATAGAAAATCCATGACAATTCTAGAGAGATGCCCTTCAAGATTCCTGATAATAAGTGAACCCATGTACATCAAATACACATATAAGTCTATGCTTGTAATCAACAACACATTGCGTGCATGGGAAACGCCCGTCCGATAACCTGTCAGTTTCGACCAACTTGATATGCAAATGAAACGCTTAAAGCAATTTCAAATTGCTCCTATTTTAAATGTATATAGAGAATTCATACAATTTTTCTCAACTACATACAGCTAGTGATGGTGTTCATTCACTCGTGAAGCGGGGTGTAGCAAGCAGAATTCGATGAACGATGCTAACCAGTAATAAATGAGCGTATCTCGTATGTGTGTGCAAACTAAACCGGAAGCTTTCTCGGAGCACCACGAATAAAAATATCTGCGATCGGCAACCATCGGTGGATAAAACAAAAACGGACAGTAATATCCTACTTAAACTGAACTCAACCTTTCGCAGTGAGCATATGCATTCGCGTATGCGTATTTAACCAACGTGATTTCCAACCGGCCGAACACAGGTCTTATTACCGTGTTGTGAGACACACACACGCACGCACGCACGCACGCACGCACACACGCACACACACACAAACACGTGAACAACCTTCCACAGCACTTAAAATTATAGTATACCGATCGATAAAATCTATAGGAATTCACCACAATGTTTTACCAAAATATATAAGCGACATTAAAACATAGTTTTTTACACTCACAGTACTTTCAGGTTAGCATGGCCTAGCCAGAGCAAGTGGAAAGAAAACCAGGGCTCTCTGCGTTCTCCAGGGTTACTCCTATATTACTATACGCCAGTGGAACAGAACGTGAGTTAAAAGCTCGAGTGGAACCGCAGGGCATCACACCCTCTGCCACAGCGTCAGATGCGCACACAGATAAAACAGACACAGCACAGCGCAGTACTGTCGGTTGCACAGTACATCAGTTGTTCATTTCCGGCTAAGAATCTCATATCAGTTTAATTCCAGTTAGCGTCAACTCACGAAAAAAAAACCACCACCACACCTAAGACATCGTGCAATCTGGAAAACGTTCTTCTGGGGGCGGCCAGTGAAGTGACGTGAAGAAAAGAAACCTGTGGGCGCCAGTGAAGTGACGTCAGTTACGCGAAACGCTTTCGTAACAGTATCGCCCTAACATACTGTTTCAAGGGCCGTATCAAAGTAGAAGCACAGAAGGATAAAATCCTCAGTGATAATATAAAGCAAGCGCTGTAGGCGCGCTGCATGCTAGGGGGGTCTGGGGGCATGCCCCCCCTGAAATTTTTTGAATGGTAGACGTCTGGAGATGCAATCTGGTGCGTCTTGCGAGAGAGATTTAGGAACAAAATGTAGGAACAAAATTTTTTTAACCCACAATTTACTGGAAGCACTGTGCTTGCTTCCAGTGCTTCTATCTGCGGGCGCCACTGCGTCACTTCACACGTTTTTTTCACGCAGCAATCCTGTGCACGAGCAATAGGCCAGGAGAAATGGGTTAGTCCCATTACAGACAACCCGTCAAACGCCCGCACGCACGCACGCACGCACGCACGCACGCACGCACGCACGCTCGGTCGATCACACACACACAAAACGATTACATACGTACGTGAACAAGGATAACTAGTAGAAACGAAATAGCACAACCGCGAAAAACAGAATGTGCGTGTATGCGAGGTAACACCGTCACAACCTCAGCCGACGCACGAGTATATATATATATATATATATATATATATATATATATATATATATATATATATATATATATATATACATATATATATATATATATATTGTGCAAGTGCATATTTTGTATACACTAACTCTGCTAGTATACATAACTGAGTTTAAAAAAATCGACACCCAGTAGACCTAGACCAGGAGATACGAATGTGGAACATCACAGAAGTGAAGTATACGTGTCAATACTGTAAAGTGTGTGAAAAACATCCCCATACATAGTACGAATCAATGTGACGACAGTAGAAGAGGAAACACATCCAAGTCAGTACCAGCTATTGTGTGCCATCATACATACTAAGATATGTGAAGCGGACTAATGTACCGTGGGCGAATGCAACATGCACAAATGTACACAATACGTTCAATCTATCAAATATAATTTCTCCCGACACAATGTTTGGGTGACATTGCAACATCGGGGTTGATTTTCATCAAGGAATAACTAGGCGTTGCATTGTTCTGCACTATGTGTTTCCACGTACCACAAGTCAGGGTATATTCTGCATTCAAAGGCTCACAGTCGGTTGGTCTCTCTCTACGTGTACTAGTATCTACTCCTGATACTACCCACTCTTACCTCTGCCTAAGCAGCTACAGCCCAAAATAACTTCACCTTTAGCATTATAGTCATATGACTACTACGGAAAAAAAACAGACACGACTAGACTCTAGTTTAATCTATTTTGTTTCTTTGTATCTGGTTACTCGCATAAGACTTTTTTCCCAACAGCGAAATACAATTGAAAATAAAATAACTGTACTAAGTTGTGACATAAAACCCATCACGTCCGCTGATCATGGCCGCCTATAAAACAGAACTAAAAACAAAGTTTCTCCCGGATTTCGTTGTTGATAAATATAAGAGGATACACACAAACGTGAGCATGAAAGAAGCCACTAGCCTGACAGCAGGCACCTGGACTCAACATGGCATCTTCGGATTGCCACTTTAACAGTGAAAATATATACAA